GTAATCACACTGAATTATACATTATGAGCAAAATATATATATGATTTCTGAACTGGTGAATTACGGGTGCATCATGCATGAGTATCTTATTAGATGAGGAACACTAACAATAGACTATTTATCCTAGTTATTAACTCAGCATGCTAATATTTTAAGCTTATAGGGATAAAGCCTGTTAGAATATTATTTCCACGTTTATACATTTTCCCAACTCTAGGTAGTCAATCATTTGTAGTTACCTCTGAGGAATAACAAGAAAAAGGTTTACAGAAAATTTTAAATAAAAATACATAGCACTAATTAAGAAGTGAATTTAGAAGTGAACCTAATCAAATATTATTATTATAACTTAACTACTCATAATACCACCAAGCTTCCTGTAAACATGCGTGAAACAGATAATATAGAGAAGAGTGCTTGTTGTGAAGCATAATTGACCTTTGATTGTTCGGAGTTCCAGAATTTGAGCAAGGCTTTAAATTCTATTTCAGGTATAGTATTTGGCCGTGTCTTTAGTCTTTGTTTGTCATTTTTGAACCCGTCAAAATAATCCCATTTTTTTCTTTATCTTTTTCTTCAACTTTGTGCCAATTTTCCTTATCCAGAGGTGCAAAACTTGAGTTTCTTCCAAGTGTGCCTAAGAAACTGCTAAGTTCACTGCATGCCTTATCTGACGGTCCGATAGGTTGTCCATATCCATTTAAAAAAATAACTTGTCGATCATGGACACTTCGTGCATGAATTTTTTCACATTTAGTTTGCCCTCGATATTTTTTGGGTTTGTCTACCACTTTATTGGCTACCTGTCTTGCTGGTTGTTCCCTTAAATCCTCACCTCCTTCAGACTCGTTTATAGAATCCTCCCAAATATTTTCCTCTTCATCTTGCTCATCATGTTCACTAACATCTCCTTCAGCATCTTCTATGAAATCCTCTCTAATATCTTCATCTTCATCTTCTATGTTGGCCGAGTGTTCTCCTCTTGCTATCACCTTTATTTGTGCATGATTGTGGTGTCGTGCCTTACTAAATTGTCCCTTTTGCTCTATGATTTTTTTTCGAATATCTCGCTCCGCGTTTTCTATTTCATCCAACATTTTCTCCTCTCTTGATTGTCTCATACGGATCATTTTCTTCTTTGTCTGCACCTCTAACTCTTTTCTTTGTATTGCAATATTTCTAGCAGGTGGTTCACATATATTGGGCGCATGCTTTCTCATACTATCCATATTATTTACCCGATTATGTTCTTTTGGGCGCACTTGTGGACATGTCGTTGCCATATTTGTAATCTGTTTCGGAGGATAAAAGATCCTTTTTGGCTTCTTTTTGTCACCACGCTCACATTCTGTGCTCGTAACCTACAAACAAGGAAAAGAAAAAAAAATTAATACATTTAGAGAAAGAAACTTAGAATATACAATAAAAACTCAACCCAACTTGCCTCAAATGATCTCTTCTGTTTTGAAGAGGTTGACACAGAATTTTTTTCTGCTTCCATGTTTTTTTTTGTTTGTTCCCTGGTAACTCCAAGGACAAAAGATACGTTAGAGGATAATCCGTAATCCATTCCATCAAAATGAATATGGATAAAGATTGGGTATTAGGAGAAACACATGCTTATGCAAAAGCGGATATGAGGAAAAAGATTAGACTGAAAATGTATAGGCTACATGGTAGAAGAACTTTGTAAATAAACAAAAAAATTCCAGATTAAAGTTCATCGACATTGTAATTGTGCGTTTGTCTTTGCGAAATAAAAATATATTTCATGATATATGATTTATGATTTTCTGTGGACACAAGGACTCTTTGATCTTCCTGTCCAGGTATTTTATTAGTTTGATTAATAGTCTACCTGATTCTCTGACAGATTTGATTCTCAACAGAGGTAATTTCGATTAGTTAAGAAAACTCACCAGCAAGACTGTCATTGACCTGCTTGTTTTTCTACCAAGTGTAGTTGAGACCAGAAATTATTTTTGGTCTAGAGGGGGTGAAGACTCTAGAAAGTTAAAATTTGACTCTGAGACGTGTGCATATCTGTATGAACCTACCTTTAATAACATGAGCAATGCATGGTAGAAGCACCCATTAACATTCTTAGCAGATTAACATGCGAAGTTCAGAGAATGACATCAGATATAAATTTTAAGACACATTATATGTACATGCATATACATGGTAAAAGCACCCATTATTGCTGATTAACGATGAATCCAAAAAACATTGAAGGTGCATGGATTTTGAAGAGGTTAATCCTTCAAATATGATTGTTAGTTACAAAATCATAACCTGTAATCTTGCAAAAATTCTGCGTTCTTTAAACTACTAATTCATACTCAAATCAAAAAGAAAATGACAAAGTCTACTCAACCCATATACTCAAAACATAAAGTTCAAAGCTCATTTCTTTCAAAACATACAGAAAGTCCCATGTCTTTTGCGTGCACTTTATATGCACTTCAAAGTTGTGTTAAAGATTAAAGATTATAATTTAATGATGTTACATTCTCTTTTGCAAATTGAGTACTTTTTTCTAATGTGTCATGCGGATTTGAACACGTGAAAACTTTGATGTTAACTATATTGATATTACTTCTGCAACATTAAACGTGAACTCTAGTAACTTGAGTCCCTTGACCTTTCAGTATAATTCACATCCAACTTAATAAGTGAAATATTCAGTAATTTAGGTTTACAGAAGAAAACTTGGAAGATTTCTGCGAGATGTGCAGGCTTTATCTAATTGAAACCCTAGTTTGATGAAATCCCTAATTTGTGAAATCAAATAAAATTTTCATTAAATAGTGAAAAAAGAAAAATTAAAACCCTAGTTAGATGATTGAAAAGGAGATAGATATTTACCCCAAATCGCAGGATGCTTGAGAGGGGATGGCGACGAGAGGCACGACGGAAGGGGGAGGTGCGGCGGACTGGGGGAGTCGACGAGAGAGAGGCACGGTGACCGGGAGTCGACGGCGAACGGAGGGAAGTCGACAGAGAGGAGAGTGCGGCGGTGGACGGGGAGTCGTACGAGAGAGAGGCACGGCGGACGTGTGTAGGAGGTCGGCGAGAGGCTTGGGGAGGCCACGACGGGACGATAGTCGTACGAGAGAGAGGAAGCGCGGTGGATGGGGGAAGGTCGAGCGAAGAGAGAAGCGCGGCGGATTGCGTGGAAGTGGAAAACCCTAGAATCGATGGAAGAAGCCGCCGTGGGAGTGGAAAACCCTAGAATCGATGGAAGAAGAAAAGGTGAAGTTTTATTCGATGGATCGGGTGAGCAGACACAAATATAAGTTAATATTCCTTTGTTAAAATTTGGGCGCGAACATAAAAGCCTATAATAAAACCGTCCTATTAGCCCATTACTGTGTTTTTTTTGCAAGCCCAACTCTAGCGCAACGTTTTATTTTAAAGCGTTGTTTTATACTCTATTGTGACGGTTGGAACCGTTCCCTTAGGAGGCAAAGGGGACGGTTTTAAACCGTCCCCAAATAACCGTCCCTGTATACCTATTTTGTGGTAGTGTTGGGATTTTAACCCATTCTATACCAAGTTTGATCTAAACCAGTTTAGTTCTAAATCGGGAATGATAACAAAAAGAGTTTAAGTTGTTGTCCCTATTTCTATCAAACAAAGGTTAGGACTTAAAACTTACTTTTGTTCTACTAAATCACTTTTAAACTAACTTGCAAAACGAACTCTTAACTCATTAAAATTTGGCCACATTTGACTTTAGGATGGTCTTGAACTGAACTGGTTTAATTGTGGACAACTATACCATTTCTGGTCCACTTTTAAGAATTAACAAAACACTTTAAAATCGGACTAGGTTAATACATAATCTAGTTCTAATAAGTTGTGAAACACACCACTACTAGATTACCAAACGTTGATGTCAGATTTCAAATAGGGAACTTTAGTGTGGGTTATGTTTAGTTTTAGGGTTCCTTAACTTATTCGATGGTTGGTTATGGAGCAGAGAGTTCAGTCCCGCTTAGAAAAAGTACGTACGAGGATGGGAGCTGGGATCTCCGGTAGTTCCTCCGACAGTCAAGTCAGTAGTGAGTTTAACTGGAGGAGAAAATTATGATTGTAGTGCGTTTATTTGTAAAAGATTGCTTATCTGTGTGTAGTAGATAGTGCGCCTATTTATAGCAAATTTAGGAGGGTAGTTTTATAATTTCGACGGAGTCTAAGCAGACAGCTTATTCGGCCAATACTTTACAAGTGTGGGCTGCGAGTGGCATGAGTCACCTATGCGATTAATGTGATGATGACACTTATGACAATGTCCGATGTGTCATTAAGACTTTTGGGGTCGGTGTAATGATGATTCTGACCATGTATTTAACATGACAATGATCAATTGTTGGCGTGGAGTTCGAGAATAACCACCTTTCATCTCAGTTTTGCAAGTGGTCGATAAGAAGACGTCTTTTGATTTGGCCAGTTTGGATTGAGAGCTTCTCGACTGGGTTTTATAAAATGAAGAGGCATAGAGCCGTCTTAAACTACGAGGTCAAGTGAGGATGCTTTTCTGATCGATCTTCTTAGTAAGGGTTAAGTGATGACTTTGCTGGACTCTTCCTACATAGGGTCAAGTTGGAGATGATGCATAGTTAATTCGGGATGCGTGTTGACTCTTAAAAGAAGATTAATACTTAGTCATTTCTATGTTATAACACCAAATAAGTTCACGTGTGACTAACACAACTAAAAGATCGTGCAGATCCATCGCCATCATGGTAAAAATTCTTTACACATTATCTTCAACTTTACTACCTCCAAAAATCAAACTCATTTCACTTTTCTCTGTTTTCGAAAACGCCTCTCTCTCACATAAACTTTCAACTTTCAGTTTCACTTTTGAGAAAAGCCAAGAGGAGAGAGGACGAAAAGAGACAAGAGAATCCTGTTGGTATTGTCCAGCGTCGTGCACAGAGGCCAGAGTCACTTGCAGTTGTGCTATAAGACAATGGCCCCTCTGCAGACTCCCAAGACCACACGTGTGTATGCTTCCGTTTCTTTTCTCTTTCTTTTCCCCCACTCGTGCACATTCAAAGTACTCTCAACTTATTAACTCAAGAGAGAGAAAGTGAAGAGGAGAGAGAGTGTGTCTGAGAGTTTCATGAAATGGGTTTCTTCTTGCAAGGGGAGAGCAGTAGTGGGCAGAGATATGAGATGGGTCTCTTGATGAGAGATGAAGGAGAAGGGCAAAATGGGAATAATGAGGAGAAAATGAAGAGGGAGTACTCAAAGTTTTGTGCTAGAGGGCATTGGAGGCCAGCTGAGGATGCTAAGCTCATAGAGCTTGTAGCTCAACATGGCCCTCAGAACTGGAATCTTATCGCTCAGAGTCTTGAAGGCAGATCAGGTATTTTAAAAAATGTAACTTTTTTCTATTTAATCAGTTGAAGGGGTTAAAAGTCTTTGCTTCGAAGTTTTCTAGTTACTTTGTTTTTGTTAAAATTGCGCATTCATGAGTCCCACTTGAAACAGGTGCTATTGATAAATTCCATATTCTCAGGGGGTTTCAATGCAAATGATAAATTAGGATAGAAGGTGATTATTAAAAATAATTTCTACTTTTAGAAAAAATAATTCTCATCAAATGCATGAAGTTATAGATTTTTTTTTTAAAGTAACTCAGAAAATGTATTAACTAGCAAAATATATATATAGAATATTCACAAGGATTGTCAGAGTAAATAACCTTTTCAAGTAAATAGCAATGTTTTCGCAGAAGAAGAAAGGAAGATGATCGTTCAGTCGGACGATAAGGAGTTTATTTCAATTTATGAAGTTATAAGCATTGATGGGTATAACTTTCACTTCAATTTATTAATTTTGTTATCTGTATTATCATCATTTTCTAATAATCCTTTCAATGAGCAAAAAGCTAGAAAACATATAGCTAGCTGCCACTATTAAACACATTAACCATCAAATGGTTAATTCCTTCAACAGGAAAGAGCTGCAGGCTAAGATGGTTCAACCAACTGAACCCAAGAATCAGGAAGCATCCCTTCACTCAAGAGGAAGAAGAAAGACTGTTGGCGGCCCAACGGGCCTTCGGCAACAAATGGGCCTTGATTGCCAGGCTTTTCCCGGGGAGAACAGACAACGCAGTGAAGAACCACTGGCATGTGATCATGTCGAAAGAGCACAGGAGTCAGAGGAGGAGATCAAAGCATTGCATCAAAAGCTCTGTCTCAAATCCTCCACCATTAATCCACTGTTTATTTCCAAATAATGCAGGGGTCATCAATGGGATTAATTACAATGAGTTTAGTGGAGAATCAAGTAACAGCAACAGATACGAGTCTGTGTCAACTTGCACTGATCTCTCTCTAAATTCCACTAGTAGAGCTGGTTTTGGGCTAATTAAAAGCTATAGCTCTCAGTTGCAACAACATGGTATGCTCATTATCTTCTTGGTTTTCTATTGTCCATTAATATGATGAAACTGGATTAAATATCCAGAACAGGTTTATGTATGTATGCATGTAGACATGTTAATGCCTAAACTAGTTGGATTCCAAGGACCAGTTTTACAACTTGAGGACTAATCCAGAACTAGCCAAATCTAAAACTATTTATGATCGGGGGTTCGGTTATTGGTGAAAAAATTGGCCTAACAAAATATGGTTAAGTCCTGGTCCTGTTATTTGCTAAACTAGTATTGATTATAGTCTGCGTACTGTTTCACTTAACCTGGTTATCTCAAGTAGCCAAACACTACATTAGCAAAATTTAATTTATCAAAATGGAGCTTATCCATTTCAATACACCCTGCAAAGTTCTTTGATGTGCCTTTTCTCCCTTTTGTTGATGGCTTTGTGAAATTTCCGCAGGCTTTGCTGATAAGTGTGCAAGAAGTACAGGATGGTATGGGGATGCTTTGAGATTGGTGTCAGGTGTTGATCAGTCTGGTTATTCTGATTCCCACTCGGAGGCCTCAGCAGCTGAATCAGTGGTTAGCAACATGAGCAATAATGGAGCTGTGAATGGAGACAGGGAGCATGAGAGCGAGAAAATTGGCTTCCCCTTCTTTGATTTTCTGGGTGTTGGAGCAATGTAAGAGGCCAAAACTCAATCGAAGGGATGTATAGGGTTAAAGTAGAAGGTAGAGATCAGAGTTCTTTGTTGTGGGAAACTGTTTGTAGTTCTTTGTTTCTTTAATCGAGGAGGTTTATGATGCTAATTAGGAGGCGGAACAATTTAAAGTTTAATTTCAAAACCAAAATTGCAATGTGATACTATTGATATATAAAATGGATCATGGCAAGCAGGGGTGCGCAGAAGTATTCACGTCTGTGAATATATATCTATCCGTACGCATTAGGAAATTGATATGGTCACTGAATATTTACATCTAATAGAATATGGCTATACATATAGATAGGCTAAATATCCATATTGGTATTTTAATTCCACCCCAATTTCCAACAAGATATTTTAAATAGGCAAACCCGCTTTAAGACATTTTAATTGATCCAACTAATCAATAAGACATGTTTTCTCGTCGGCGGACAAATTTCCGACGAGATCTTGCCACGTGCATGGCACGTGATGTCTCAAAACTCATTTTTAGCAGCGGCGACGGCAACAATCTCGTCATATTCAGCCCAAAGTAGGATAAAATAACGGTTATGACGCCGCCTGAGATCGCTAACCCCATCGAATCGGCTGAATATGACGAGATTGTTGCCATCGCCACTGCTAAAAACAAGTTTTGAGACATCATGTGCCATGCACATGATGAGATCTCGCCGGAAATTTGCCCGCCGACGAGAAACCATGCCTTATTGGTTAGTTGGATCAATTAAAATGTCTTAAAGCGGGTTTGCCTATTTAAAATACCTTGTTGGAAATTAGGGTGGAATTAAAATATCAATATGGGTATTTAGCCCAACTATAAAGTTCTTAATTAGGAGCTTGTCAAATTAAATGCTCTTCAAATAGAATCGAATAGGAGTCTGAGTGTAGAACCTCTTGTGTAGCAGATAGTTTAATGTTGTGAGGGAAAAAACATTCATTTAGATGGGATAGAGGATGCCTGAAAGATGAAGTTAATTAGGTTGCAATTGTTGATGCGTTATTATGTAATTGGTTTTATGCAATCCTAGCTACTACATGAATAAGGTTTTTTTTACTGGCATTTACAAAGCTATGTTGGCTTTTATTGCTATTATGTGTTATTAAGGTATGTCAGCAGGTTGATGAAGTTATGTTGCGCATGTTCTTATCTATATGACTAAAAAAAAATTTATAATTCATATTTATTGATGAGTTTTTGTTTATGATGTGATTACTATCTAATGCGAATTTCTGCTCTCAGAGACATTGCTAAGGCAACTAACTTTTGGTTTTGCTTTGGTTTAATGTTTACAAATTTTGAAAGGAATGGATTTTACTTGAGTTTGATCAGTTTTATTGAAGTAGAGTCCAACCATGTTGTATTAATGATTCATGTGCATTATAACAGTATAGTATAAAGGTGAGTACTTGTTCATATGTACGTATGTATGTATGTATGTGACATGCATCTTATCTTTTATTTTTCTTGTTTAGTTTCAGTTTCAGCAAATTTTTTAGTTAATATAAATGACATGTTCATATGTACATGTGACATCTTATATTTTTTATGTATTATTATTATATTATTTATTTATTTTATCTTATTTTTTGTTTAGTTTCAGTTTCAACAATTTTTTTTAGTTAATATATTTTAATGCCAAGGGACATCGATAAAACATACTCGGAGATAAAGTAGATCCTAATTAATTTATTCAAGGGACTAACATGCAGGCCAAATTTTAGAAAACCCTTGCATGATTTGAGGAAACCTCTGCAAATTCAGATTTGAGGGACTAATATCAAATTATGTAAGATCTAATATCTAGAAACAGCCATCATAAAAATCCAAATAGTTTGCAATATTAATTTGTTCAAGTATAGATTGATGCCAAAAATCATGAATGAGAGAATGAGTATGCCTCACGCGAAAGGCATGATAAGTTGAAATAGCAGGGAAGTAATTGGGTTAATTTCACAAAACCACCCTGAACTTTAGGGGGTATTGCACATAATCCCCTAAACTTTCTTTATCTCACGTTCCCCCACCCGCGAACTTTGCGGTGTCTTACAAAAAAATTTCTTACCGGAATCCCCT